AAAAAAAAAATCCCCAAACAAAAAACAGGGATAGTGGGGGAAAGAATGGTGTTTGTTGCCTATTGTTGCAAAAAGGCTGCCTAATCCTCCCTAATTGGGACCTCGGCCCAAGGGCAGAAACATTCAATCTTGAAGGCATGTACCATCCCCAAATGTAGTCCTAAATACGTATAGCCTTAAAATGTTTTTAAAAAAATTCTAGTGCTGTCATTAGAACATACATGGATGAGTTTTGATTTTTTTCAGCCAGAAAGACTGTGTGACACTCACTGATTCCCTCCCTTAGTCACCCTTTAATTTCTTAGAAGCCAAATCTCTTCTAACACAGGTGGAGGAAGACTTAAAGCAGGAAGCAAGCCAGAAGGAGGAGATGGTGAAGGTCCCTGGCAACTTGGCAGATGCCCTGCAAATGGCCAACACTGGCGGTGGTTCAAATGCTCAGTGGCTAGTCAGAATTCACAGGAGAGCCGGTCTAATTTATGGTGAGAAATGGACACCTTCCTTCTAATGCTTTTTCATCTAGAAATAATTAAACACAATTAGCAGTCCTAGAAGGAAACTAATAGTAAATAATTAAAAAAGGAGACCTGGGAATGATTAGTAAATCCTAACTGTCCATGCCTACCCAGGGGCCTGTGCTTCCTTACCCCTCCTGCAGTTGCATTGGATACGTTCAGTATTCCACATAATTTTTCTTTTTCGGGGGGGAAGGGGGAATTATTTAGTAAAAAATAAAAAAATATTCAGAAGCATATTTTTCTGTTTGCATACTGAATATTTTTCAAGGTCTTCCTAATTTGTAGGACAATGAAAACGATAGGAATAATTGTCATAATCTATTAAGGTCTCCCTCTGTGGCAGGAAGGGTGCAAAGCACTTGATCTGCATCATTGCATTTAATTCTTACAACCTAGGAAAGCCAGGATGATGGTTCACTTTGCTTTACAGTTGAGAAAACTGAGGCTCAAAGAGGAAAGCGGACCTGTCAAAGTCCACAGGTTATGGTACTCCCTCCCAAGCGCAGGTTTCACCTAGACTAGTGTTTCCCCCAATCCAGGACAATGATCTACGACTACAAATTACACAGCAACCATGCCACTGTGAGACTGCACTCATCTGGAAAGCAGCACAAAGGAAAATGACTTTCATCATGAGCTCCCTTCCAGAAAAGTCCCTCTGCCCTTTGAATTCCCACAGGTAAGAACTGCCTGCTGCCCCCAGGCTCAGTCATCGTAGGCTTCNGCATCATTGCATTTAATTCTTACAACCTAGGAAAGCCAGGATGATGGTTCACTTTGCTTTACAGTTGAGAAAACTGAGGCTCAAAGAGGAAAGCGGACCTGTCAAAGTCCACAGGTTATGGTACTCCCTCCCAAGCGCAGGTTTCACCTAGACTAGTGTTTCCCCCAATCCAGGACAATGATCTACGACTACAAATTACACAGCAACCATGCCACTGTGAGACTGCACTCATCTGGAAAGCAGCACAAAGGAAAATGACTTTCATCATGAGCTCCCTTCCAGAAAAGTCCCTCTGCCCTTTGAATTCCCACAGGTAAGAACTGCCTGCTGCCCCCAGGCTCAGTCATCGTAGGCTTCCAGGCCACCTGATCAGGTCACCCTGCAGTGACACCCCTCCCCCACCCAGTTAAGGTAGCTTATAGGTACTTGCAGGCAGCATCATGTGACGCCTTTTCGGGGACTGCAGTGAACCCACTGCAGTTCACCCCAAACAAATGAAAATGCATGTCAATCTCTCATGAGAAAAAAATGCTCCAAAGGTGTTTCTAGTGTTTCCCCGTGAATGCCGCCTCAATGAAAGAGAAGGGAAATGAGGAAAAGGCCTCAGTGAATACTCACGGCTCCCCAGGGTCCTGTCCTCCACTGGTTTCCACCCAGCACGTGGGTGCGGCTAGGGCTGAGGCTCCGGGGGTGATAATCCTCATTTTGGGAAGGGTGTTGAGCCAGGCCACTGTCTGGGATCCACTGAGGGCACGGTGACATGGAACAGTCCTGAGTGGTTTCTGGGATATAATCTGGGTCGCATTCACTCTGATCAATCACATGGTCGCTGTAGTTGACACATACCACTTGCCGGGTCGCCCTACCTTGTCCACACGTCACAGAACACTATGTTGAATGTTCAGAAGGAGAAAGGGTCAGTCATTTGGCAGTTATAAATTCACGAGTGTGCATTTTCTGTAAAGTGCCCACGACTCCCCCAGTTGATCAGGTCAAAAACCTTGGTGTCATCTTTGACACCTCCCTTTGCTTCCTACCCCACAGCCATTGCATTGAGAAATCCTGTCTGCTCAGTGTTCAAAAATACCCCAACCCAGCCACCTCTCACCACCTCCACCATCGACTCTCTGGTCTAAGCTGCCCCCTCCCTAGACCAAGCCAGAGTGTTCCCTTGCCAGGACTACTGCAAGAGACTTTCAGCTGGGCTCCTGCTTACAATCTTAACACCACCCCACCCAGGTCTGTTATCCACATATCCCAAACTGTGACCCTTGCAAACGAAAGTCAGAACATGTCATTCCCTCCAGTGACTTCCCGATTCACTCTGAATAATGTCCAAATTCCTATGATGTGGCCACTGGGTATCGCTTTGACTCACCTTCTATAGCCTTCCATCCCTGCATTCCAGCCACACAGGCCTTATGGCTGTTTCTTTAGCATGCCAAGCACACCCACATCATCTCAGTCTGTGCATCTGCTGAACCTTTTGCTGTACCACATGGATATCCATGCAGCTTAACCCCTCACTTAATCTCAGTCCCACTCAATGCAGTGTCAGGCCTTTTCTGATCACCTGTCTGAGAGCACATCCCATCTTTCTCTAAGCCATTACTCTGCTGGACTTTCCCCCCAATACTTATCAGTATTACTATATTACATATCTATTTCTTTATTTTCTCGGTGACTGGACTCTTCATTGGCATAATCTCCGTGCAGGCAAGGATTTTATTATTTGTTTTCCACTGTTCTTTCTACAGTAAGCTTTAACAAATATCTGGCGAGTAGGCCAATGTATCTGGTGTGTATACAGAGAGTGCCAAAAAAAGGTATACACATTTTAAGAAAGGAAAAAACGATTAAAATTGTAATACTCAATATATACTGATAACAAAAGTTGACTACAAGTCACATTTGACTTCTGCAATTACAAGAGGTGCAATTACAAGTGGTTACCATCAGCATAATTTTAATAGTTTGTTTTCCTTTCTTAAAGTGTGTATACATTTTTTTGGCACCCTCTGTATATCTCTAATAATATTTACAACAACCTTGTAAGGTAGGTATTTTTTGGTCTTCTCTGAAGACCAGAAGAAACTGAGGCTCAAGGACTTTAACAGACAGCTCAAGGTCGTTCAGCCAATAAATGTCAAGGTCCGGATTAGTACATAGCTCTCTTTGAATCTGCCTCTCAAATTTCATATATATGTTAAATTTATTGAGATATTAGTCTCCATTTTCTTTATCATGTCTCCACACCTATCTTAAGCTCTGTATTTCCTGGACTCGGTGGTTTTTGCAAGGCAGAAAGCAGGGGCTGCCTGAAGGCAAAGGTTTTTCTACTTTTTAAAATCCCACAGATGGTGCTTGGTGTGCACAGGATGCCAGGCCCACAGCACTGGCTGAGGAGTCTCACTTCTCTTGACAGGGAAGCCAAGCCACTGGACTTCAAGGGACCACAGGATGCAGGAGGCACACAGACTCAGGGTAAAAGGCTGTCTCTTTACTCCTACCTTTATCTTTGCCACTTTTGGTACTCTACACACCTACTATCAGAATGTGACTCAATTAAGACTGGGTTTTCCAATCAGCCCAACAGGATAGGGGCTTCAATAGATTGTAAGTTGATTTACACATTTGTTAAAATGTGCACTTCTTGTACTTCTAGCTAAGACTCATACCAGCTATATATGAAGCAGAACAATTTGAAACACAATCTAAGTCCAATTCTAAAATATTACCCATTGACATTTGGGACCTGCTACTAGTCATTCCCTTACTGTACCCCAATCCTCTCCCAATTCCAAAGAATTCAGTTGCTTACAGGGCTCCAGTCCAAAGCCTTCCACTGCCCACAGGGGGTCACAGAACATTCCTCCTTTGCCACTGGTCTAGGCTGGGTCGTACAGGCGCTCTCATCAGCCACGGATCCATCCTCATCCCGGCAGCTAACGTATCTCATCCGGGTACCTTTTCCACAAGTGGCTGAGCACTGAGTGTTGGGAGTAGAATAATGTAAAAACGTTATTTGAATGGTTGCTAACCGGACAGTAATCCACTTTCTATAGTCACATCAGAGAACATCCTCCTCCCCTGCCACCCCCTCTACTTCCTCCATTCTATTTCTTACTGGAGTCCAAGACCCAAATCGCCACTGGGTTCTTGGTGCACTGTGTGTGCTTCTCCTCGCTTCTGGGGCAGGTGGGGGAGGGTGACAAGATGGTAATTCACAGTCCTAGGTGTGAGAAGGAGGGAAAAGCCAGTTACCTTTATGTCAATATACACTGTAATGGTCACGGCATATACAACTCTAAGGGCTAAAAAATTCTAAGGCCTCAGATTTTTGTGTGATTTGGGGAAAATAACATGACATCTCTTATCCCCAATTTCTTTAACTGTAAATGGAATGTAACCTGAGTCACTTTGTGGGCTCCTTGAAATAGGGCAGTGGTCTACTTAATGATTTTTTTTTTTTTAAGCTGAGCCATCCTGCCACCTGTTGATAGCTCAGGGGCAGCTCAGCTCGGGCCGGGAATCAAACCAGCAACCCTGTTGCTCAGAGCTTGCACTCTTGAGTGAGCTCCTAACCAACTAAGCCACTCGGCCGGCCCCTACTTAATGCTTTTTAATACCATATTTATTTATCCATTCATGTGGAGAGAGAAAACATATTGTAAAGTGGCAGATAAGTTGGGAAAGAGCAGGATATCCTTTTAAAATGATCAATTGTTAATTTTTCAAAATTCTGAAGGCCACAAATTCTGTTCTCAAATTTCAATTAGTTTCTTAATGAAAATTTGCTAATCATGAACTTGCTTTCCGAGTGTACTTAAAGATAACTCCTGAGGCCCTAACGGTCAAATCTAGATATAAGAGGTGTATTCAACATTCTGATGCCTAAATGTATTAATATATAACACTCCTCAATACTCAGAGAAAACCCCTGTAATGAATTGAGGGCATCCTTGTGTAGATAATATTCCCAGATTTAGAAATGGGAAAACACAAGTACACACCTGCTCAATCATTCCCAGCCTCAGGGGTTAGCAACTATTCTTTGATTAAATACATATCCATTAAATGGCTAAGATGTGCCAGGCATGGCTCAAAGTGCTGGGGATTTGGCGCTGAATGGAATGATGCATGCTTGACTTCAGGGAGCTTACAATTGAGCAGAACACTCTGGTACTTGGCTCCAGACCTGACCTATAGCTCTGTCCATGGTCCAAAGAAAGTCACAGGGGTCTTTTCATACAATGAAAAAATTATTCATAGGCTGCAGCTGTGGGGGCTGCTCTATAGTTCAAAGGATATTACAGAACAATTTGAGAGATATAGATAATTTACAGAAATATGTTCCGTATTTTGCCTGTATAACATGCACCCATGTTTTTGGTCCAAACTTTCAGGGAAAAAAATCTTTCGTTTTAACTTTTTAATTAAATTTTCATTTGTTTACATTTAGGTACTTGCTTTTGTATTATAAAGGAATTCTAGCTTTTATTTTTTAACATGTTATGGTACAAGACATTTTATGTAACAAATAATTACAAAACAGAAAAACAGATACAAGGCACAAGAAATTTTATGTACCGGTAACAAATTTATGATCTCTACGCATCATAGAAGGCCAAGAACTCTTCATCCTTGCAAGTTCATCATAAGTTCAACAAAACTGTTTATCATATTCCAGGGTATTATTTTGCATATGGATATCATTATTGATTTCTATAGTTACACTTTTAACTCATAAGCATAAATAAAAGAATTAAAAGCATTTATATAGATATGGAATTAGTACTACCCATGTATAATGCGCATTCTTATTTTTCCCTAACAAATTTGGGCAAAAAAGTGAGTATTATACATGGCAAAATATGGTATGCTTTGAATCTCTATGGAAGTTGCTACATCCTCACTTCATGATTGCTCGCAATGATTTCCAGGCATTTATGAGGTGGTGGCTTGGAATATTTCAATAAAGATGACACAACTCACAAGTAGTGTTTGGTTAACTGATCACTGATGACAACATGAACAACATTGCCATATTCATTTACTTTTTTGACACTCTTCATCCATAAACAACTCATGTTTCAATACAGCAGACTGAGGGTGCTCAAATGGAGGTAGTGCATTGGCCAGAGGGGGCCACAGAGCATGAGTTCTGGGCATAGTCTGGGTTCAAATCCTGTCTTTAGCAACTAGCAAAGCTGATGTGTAAGCCGAAGTGTTGTCTTTATATCAATGATACCAAAATCAAGGCCCACACATAGTATGCTGGTGAATGATCATCAACTAGCTCTCCTGAGAAAAAAGGTGTGCCTATGTGTATGTGTGTGTGTGTGTAGATAGATATGTACACACACATGTATTACACACACACATATACGTTTACATATGCACATATGCTTATTATAAATTTTACTGATACAAAGGATGTATAGCACACAATTTACAAAAAAAAATAATAAAGTATACAATTTATTTAAAATTCCATGCAGCTAATTCTCACAGAATAGTTTTGTTGGTTGGCTGAACTCTTGAATCTGTTGACAAACTATGGTTATAAATGCTGGACAGGTGTAGTTCTGACATAAATGTTAGTTGATATTTTGTTAACATTTAAGAGTAGGTGAAAGTGAAGCAATGAAGATGCATGTAATAACTTTACTCATTCATCAATGACATGAATGATTTCTTTGTTGAACCAGTTAATAATTTTTAAATACCAGAAAAATATGTCCTTAATTTTTTGTGTGATTCACAATGTAGCAGCTGCAGACACTAGATTCTTTTTTTTCTTTTTGGTAAGCAAGGGATTTTTTTTTTATTAGTTTCAGGTGTACAAAACAATGCAATAGTTATACTTTTCACCCCTCACAAAGTGACAACCCCCCTCCCCAATCCACCATCCCCCCCATATACATATCTAATATGATTTCATCGACTCCATTCCCCACACTATACTCCACATCCCGTGACTAGACACTAGATTCTTTAAGTTAATGTGCATTATTAATATTTTCTCCATCATTTTCTTATGTGTAAGTAATCAACAAAACAATAAATTAAATCCTGAATTATACAGTATTTGCTGACTGCTGTGCTGTAAATCCTCTTATCATGGCCATACCTGAACATATGACACTGTTTGCTGAATCCCACATTGAAGTCATTAAAATAAAAATCTGAGTTCATGAAAATAAGACCAACAATTAACATTTGTCATCCAATAAGAATCAGAATCAAGCCTACATACATTTCAAATAACCAGAGAAGGACAAAACTGGCACATCAAAATATTTGATTCATAATGTAAAAAATGAGTAAATCCATAACAATTTAATCAACTGTTTTCTCTATCTACTCGTACATACTTACCTATGAAAAGACTTCAGTTTTAACTGGACCACGGGGGAGTTTTGGCATCTTAGTACCCAAAGCCAATAACTGAGCTGGACAAGGGAGACTTACCTGGGTACTAGTTGGTCTCGTTGCTGCATTGCAGTCATTGTCATCTACCGCTGACATGTAAGTCCCAATGATGCATTTCACTGCTCTTTGCTGGTATCCCTGTCCACATGTGACACTGCACTGAGGGAAATAAATAAAACAAAGGTATATGCAATTCAGCAAGATTTCTCTTTCCCTTACTTTTCCTATAACATTCTACAAAAGAAAAAATATTTCCATCATAGTGGGCCAGAGGGTAGGCACCCAAAGAAATTAGGTGAAAGTGGGCAACCCTGCTCTGTACAAATTATATTGACCAATTATCACTATAACACTTGGAATTATTGGGTTGTCGGAAAAGTCATGACATATTTTTTCTCTGTTTTTTGTTACAAAATGTGTCCTGACTTTTCCGACAACACAATATTTCTACCGCCCATTGGAATTGTATCTGTAGGAGTTCAGTTCCTTAATTGTGAACTCCTGGACAGAGGAGAGTATATTTCAATCATCTTTATATCTTTTACTCTACAGCTGCCAGAACGCTGTGGCTCAAATAAGTCCTTAAAAAGAGTTCTATGACTATTTGAATTCTGGAAAAACTTCTTAACGAAATAATCAGAGTTTGCATCAATATTTTTGTACAAGAATGGTCTCTGCAGTATTATTTATAAAAGGCAAAATGTTAGAAACCACCTACGTACACAACAACCAAAAGTCAGTGAAATACACCATGACATACTAAAGTAAACAATGCAGCCACTACATGGCTAACTGTTAGATTTCAAAAACAGTCTAAAAAACATTATGTAGAGGGAGTGATGTCATGAAAATGGCAGATCAGAGAGCTCCAAGAATTGATCCTTTCACTGAAACAATCATCAAGCTGGCACTGTGAAATCTAATAAAAAATTTACAGCAATTGGGTGAGTGCTTAACAAAGAAAGAAGCTGCCAAATTTCAGCCAGAAAGTGTTGTGGAGTTTTTATTTCTCCCCTAACCATATTACACATTCCTCTCAAATGCACGTGCAACATTCTCCAGTACAGGCATACCTCATTTTATTGCACTTTGCTTTATTGTGTTCCACAGATACTGTGTTTTTTATAATTTAAAGGCAAGAGCTTCCACCAGCAAAAAGATTATGACTCACTTTATTGTGACACTCACTTTAATGTGGTGGCTGAGAACCGAATCTGCGGTATCTCCAAGGTGTGCCCGTCTAGACCATACATTAGGCCATGAAACAAGTCTCAATAAATTTTAATAGCCTGAAATCCCACGAAGTATCTTATCTGACCACAATGGAGTAAAGTAGAAAGCAATAACAGAAGGAAAACTGGAAAATTCATAAATATGTGGAAGTTATACAGTCTCAAACAAAAAATAGGTTGACGATGAAATCACAAAGGACAGTAGAAAATATGCTGAGGATAACTATAAAGATGCAGCAAAACCAGTGTTTAGAGGGAAATTTGTACCTACATTATATAACGAAAATCTCAAATCAATAACTTAACTTTATACCTTAAGGAACTAGAAAAAGAGCAAACTAAACTCAAAACTATTATAGAAAAAGGAAGGAGATAATATAGATCAGAATAGAGATAAATAATTACATAGAGAATAGAAAAACAGAATCAACAACTCTAGGAGTTGGCTTTTTAAAAAGACTGACAAAATTGACAAATCCTTTCCTAGACTAAGAAAAAGAGAGAGAAGATCCAAATAACTAAAATCAGAAATGAAAATGGGGACATTGCTTCTGACTCTACAACAATACAAAGAGATTATGAAAATACTGTGAATAATTATATGCCAACATATTAGACAATCTAGATCAGCGGTTCTCAACCTGTGGGTCGCGACCCCTTTGGGGGGCGAACGAACCTTTCACAGGGGTCGCCCAAGACCATCGGAAGACAAAAAGATACTTACATTACGATTCACAACAGTAGCAAAATTAAAGTTATAGAGTAGCAATGAAAATAATTTTATGGTTGGGGGTCACCACAATGTGAGGAACTGTATTAAGGGGTTGCGGCATTAGGAAGGTTGAGAACCGCTGATCTAGATGAAACACACAAATTGCCAAACATACACAAAATGCCAAATATATACAAATTAGCCAGAAACACACAAATCACAAAATTTGACTCAAGAAGAAATAGAAAATTTCAACAGACTTATAAGAAGTAAAAAGATTGAATCAGTAATCAAAGACCCCCCCTAATAAAGAAAAGTCCAGGAGCAGATGGCTTCACTGGTGAATGCTAACAAATATTTATAGAAGAATTAACACCAATCCTTCTCAAACTCTTCCAAAAGAAGTAAAGAAGAGGGAACATTTCCTAATGCATTCTACGAGGTCAGCATTACTCTGACACCAAAGCCAAAGATACCACAATAAAGAAAACTATAGACCACCATTTCTTGTAAATAAATATAGACACAAAAATCGTCAACAAAATCTTGGCAAACTGAATCCAACAGCTTATTAAAAGGATTATATATGATGACCAAGTGGGATTTATCCCAGGAATGCAAAAATGCAAAAGAAAATCGATCAATGCAATACACTATATAATTAGAAAAAACCCCCAAAAAACTTGATCATCTCAACTGATAACAGAAAAAGCATTTGACAAAATTCAACACTTTCATGATAAAAATGTTCAACATAACAGGCACTTATAAAAAACCCTCAGCTAACATCATAGTCAATGATGAATGACTGAAAGTTTTCCTCTTACGATCAGGAACATGACAAGGATGTCCGTTTTCATCACTGCTTAGTCGACATTGTATTCTATGTTCTCGCAGGAGCAAACAGGCAAGAAAAAGAAATAAAAGACATACAAATTGGAAAGGAAGAAGTAAAACTATTTCTGTTTGCAGATATCATCATCCTATACATATAAATCCCAAAGAATCTTTTGAAAAAAAACAAACAATAGAGCTTGTAAACAAATTCAGCAAAGTTGTAGAGGACATGATAAACACACAAAAACCAGTTGAATTTCTAACTGCCAGCAATGAACAATCTGAAAGAAAATTAAGAAAACAATTCCATTTATAACAGCATTCAAGAGAATAAAATACCTAGGAACAAACAAATTTAACCAAAAAGGTGAAAGACTTCTACACTAAATACTACAAAACAGTCCTAAAAAATAAAAATAAATAAATACAAATAAAGAAGACCTAAATAAATGGAAAGACATTACATGCTCATGGCTTAGAAGACAAGATATCATTAAAATGTCAATACTCCCCAAATAGATGTACAGACTCAAGGCAATCCCAATTAAAATCCTAATGACCTTTCTGTAGAAATGGAAAAACCTGATCCTAAATTCATATGAGTGGCAAGAGACACCCAAATAGCCAAAACAATATTGAAAAGAATAACAAGCTCAGGCAACAAAATAGAAAACTTTTACTTTTTCAAAATTAAAAACTTTTGTGCATTAATGGACACTATCATAAGAGTGAAAAGGCAATCCATGGGATGGGAGAAAATATTTGCAAGTCATATATCTGATGAAGGATTGATATCAAGAACATAAAGAATTCCTGCAACTCAACAAAACAAACAACCCATTTTAAAAAATGGGAAAAGGAACTCTACTAAACTCTACATTTAAAATGGTTAAAGTAGTAAATTTTATTTTATGTGGGCATTTTTTATTGCCATAATTAAAATTACTTAAAAATGGAAAAAAGATTTGAAGAGATATTTCTCTTAAGAAAATATACAAATATCCAAAAAGCATATGAAAAGATGTTTAGTATCACTGCTCACTAGGAAATGCAAATAAAAACCACAATGACTTTATATAATGTTGTGTCAATTATACCTAAATAAAAAAATAAAGTCTTAGAAAAAAACCTCCACAATGAAATACTACTTAACACCTACTAGGATGGTTATTATTTAAAACAAACAAACAAACAAACAAACAAACAAACAAACAAACAAACAAGCATTGGTAAGAATGTGGAGAAATTGGAACCCTTATGCATTGTTGGTGGGAATGTAAATGGTGCAGCTCCCATGAAAAATAGTATGGTGGTTCCTTCAAAAAATTAAACAGAATTGCCATGTAACCCAGAAACTCCACCTCTGAGTATATATCCAAAAGAAGTTAAAGCAGAGTCACAAAAAGATATTAATATACTCAAATGTTCACAGAAGCATTATTTAAAATAGCCAAACGGTGAACGTAACCCAAGTGTCCATCAACAGATGAATGTGTAACAAAGTGTGCTGTATGCATACAATGGCATATTATTCAGCTTTAAAAATTTTAGGGGGCCGGCCGAGTGGTGCATTGGTTAAGAGTTGACTTGGTAGTGCCAGCTCTGAGCAGCAGGGCCCCGGTTCGGATCCCACATGAGGGCCAGTGACACTGCCCTCTACAGTTAAGATGCTGAACAACAGCTCAACCTGGAGCTGGGCTGCTGTGAGTCGCCGGCAATGGTGTAGGCTGCAGTGGGAATGGCTGGCAGCCGGCGTGAGCTGCCGTGAGCTGCCATGAGTGGCCGTCCAATGGCCGGCGAGCGACTGACTCACTCTGGAACAGCACAATACTAATACAAACATGGGCCAGTGAGGCGACGTCCTCCACAACTAGACTGAAGAACAAAAGGACAGCAACTATATGTTCCCCTTCCCTGATTGCCTAACACTGTTCCCCTCCCCCAAATCCCCAATAAAATCTTAAAAAAAAAAATAAAAATTTTTTTGGAAGAAAATTCTGACACCTGCTGCAACATAGGTAAACCATGAGGCTATTATATGACGTGAAATAATCCAGTTATGCCAGGACAAATACTGTATGATTCCACTTCTATGAGGTGTCCAGAACAGTTAAATTCATAGACACAGAAAGGAAGTAGAATAGCTGCTGCCACGGGCTGGGGAGAGGGGGAATGGAGAGTTGTTAAATGGGTAGAGCTTTCATTTTGCAAGATGAAAAGTTCTGGATATCGGGCCGGCCGAGTGGCACGATGGTTAAGAGCTGGCTTGGGATGCCAGAGGGCCTCAGTTCAGATCCCACATATGAGGGCCAGTGACATTGCCCTCCACAGCTAAGATGCTGAACAACAGCTTAACCCAGAGCTGGGCTGCCATGAGTCGCCCACGACGGCGTAGGCTGCAGCCCCTGCGGCAGTGGGTTGCCATGGGCTACCATATGTAGCCAGCAGCCAGCGTGAGC